GAACAATGTTTGAGCCTCTGGTACTCTTTAAAGTCATTTTCTGGGAAATGTATGTGTCATAACAACATAAAGCAGGCATATTTCCCTTGCTTTCGATCTGCCTGGTGCCAGGGTCTACGTCATTTCAGCACTGAAGCAGATCCAGCAAGTTCATGGTAACTTTGGTCTCCCCAGAGCTGCCTCTTTCACCCCCTCGGTTTGTATTTGCCTCTTGCCTTGCAGCAGCTTTCCTCACCCCTGTCAGGGAACATCACATCTGTTATAGTTAATATCTCATTTTCATGGGAAGCCCTTGGGAACTGGGCCCTTATCTCCACATACCATACACATCAAAACTGTTTAATCAACTCTATTAATTCCAGGGCTGGCTGCTGATCTGGATAAAACACTGTGCTTTCCCAGCACCAAAGGTTTATAGCCAAGCTGCACATTTCAGCAGCTTCCATACAGATTTCTCTCTGCTCCTCACACATTCACCCACTGTCCCCCTGCTCTTGTAGAAAGGTGTCTGGACTCTGCACTAAGGGTCTGGTTGATTTTGGTTGTTTTGCCAGACCAGGAGAATCCCACTACCTTGAAAACAGGGGTTTTAAAAAGAGTTGAGAGTCCTGGGTGTCATTTTCTGCAGTCTTGGGGTATCATTGCCACTTCAGGGCACCCACAGAGCACATCTGCTCTGAATTTTGGCCTAAGAATGTGCAAGAGGAAGGAGAAACTTCAGCAAGGAGCCAAGTCCAGGGGAAATTGGTCCTTAAGGCTGTGGCATCAGTGTAGCTGAGGATGGAGACGTGCCTCTGCTCTGATCCAGTGTGTCTGCTTTAGGGAGGTGTGGTGGAACGTGGCTCCTTCAACAAGACCCAGAAACAATTTTAGGAAGACTGCATATGGGAGGACTGGATAAAAGAGGATGGGTTATAGATAGATGTCTCCTGACCAGATGAAGAGGTGGACCGGTTTCTGCCATCTTTCCTCACCTCCAGCAGTATTTCACTCTGAGCCTAAAGCTTCTCCAACGGCTGTGTGGATGCCTTGTGATTACAACACTTCAAGGTATGCAGCTAAAGGCTCGGGACTTCTCGAGACGTGCTGCTCCTTGCTGTTCTCGGAAAGGGTTCTCACAACAAGAAAGCAATGCAGGCAAACAAAGAACCACACAGCAAAATGACAAGCAGCAGCTGGAGCACGTGGGCAGCCCACAGAGTGACAGGGCAGTTGGGCTCCTTGCTTCTCTGCTGCTGTTTTGGAAACCTCAGTAAACAGAAGAGCCCAGATCAATCTCAGTGCTCGGGCACAAACTCTGTGCAGCCCCATTGACTTCAGTGGCAAAGCCTGAGATACATGTTCCTTCCCATGCATCATGCACAAGCTAGTCTAAAAAAGCTGCTGAAAACACCATTAGCTGCCACTAGTTAGCAGGTCTCAGCTTGTTGCAGCGAGGAATTTGTGCTCATTTGTGCCATGAAGAATATGAGTGTTTAATGTCTGTGGGGGAGCTTTCCAGCAGCTGGAAAAAAAAGAAAGTATGTATGTTTATATTTTGAAAAAAGGGATTGTTTTTGCCGCTCTCAATTATTAATGTCTCTCAGGTCAGGCTAAGGAACAACGCCAGGGATAAGTTACCCCGTGTACTATTCAGATATGCTCTCCCCAACTGTTTGCTTCTCAGCTAGAGGATTCACCTCGCAATGAACTCCCTAACGGTTGGAAAAAAGACCGACGGAGGCTGAACTCGGTGTGCCCGTTTATTTATGCAGAAACAGCTTTTCAACTTTGTCAGGTGTGTTTAGTCAAAAAGAAGCAGGAAATGCATTATGATTATAAACACATATTAGTGCACAAGCAAAAGGCCGCCCTTGGAAAGGATTGCACTGTTTGAGAAATGGTTACAGTGAAAAAACACAGGCTTAACCTATGGAGCTCTTTGCTAAGATCAAAGCAGTGCTGCCTACTGCCACCAGCTGTCTGGGTGGTGGGGCTCAGCTGTGGGCTTCCAGTGAGGGAAGTGGAAGAAGGTTAAAAAGAAAGTGCTATCATCTTTCTTTTTTCTTTTGCCTAAAACATTTTCCCTAGTCTAAAAAAATGACTCAAACGTTAAATATTTGCTGTTAAAATTAATAGAATTAGTGAAGATTCCAGCTGAGAACACAATAATTAGGGCCTGGTCCAAAGCCCATGGAGAAACTCATTGTTTTCAACAGGATCTGGCTCAGGGCCCTGGTGAGACAAAGCGAAGATGGAGTTAAGGCACAGCCCTGGGACAGCTTGGATTCCCCACAGACTTTCCATGTGACTGTGCCCAAACTTGCACATGTTCCTTAGTCCTGAGCACAACCAACCTCAAGCTGCTGCAAAAAGCAAATATCCTGCTGGGCTGCGCGGCTGGGTGTAGTGTGGGTAAGATGCAGGAGGGATTCAATGCACTTCTTTGGCACCATAATGCCGTGCTTAAAATAAAAAATAAAAAAAATAATACAGACAAACTGGAAATTGCCCAAGGGAGAGGAACAGAAATGATAGGAGGTCCAGAAACATTACTTATGAGGCAAGATTGAAAGGGCTGGGTTTGTTTAGTCTACAGCATTCAAAGTGCTAATAAACTTTAAAAATGTAAAGAATAATGTGATACCACAAAGGGTAATCAATTGCCCTTTAACTATGTGGGGATAGCTGAATGTACAGCAAAAAAGATTTAGGTTGTTAAACGCTGAGAGGTTAATAAAGCACTCTAGTATTTACATTGAGGAGGGAGCAAAGTGTCTCTCCTGGGAGATTTTTTATGTGCTGGACATGTACGTGTGATGAGGGATTGGGTAACTTGTTGTTCCAAAGAGCAGCCTGCTTTTAGCCTCAGTCCTACAGTTTCCATGATTTAGTGACTGTTATGGGACACTCAGATATGAGACCTTGGAAGTGACAAGTCTTCACAGCCCTCCTTGATTCAGGAAAATCCAGCAGCTGCTCTGCCCTCAAAATCAAGGATCCTTTCCGCAAACTCTCATTTCTTTGGTTTCCAGAGTTATTAAATAAAGAGCAGTACCCACTCTGCATGGTGCCATGATCATATTTGTGAAGTATCTTGCTTCCCTCCAATGAGGGATTCCCATTGAATTGAACACTTGAATGCTCACATATCAGGATGATGAGACCTCTGGAAAAGCACATGATGATCCAGAAAGTGCTGGGGGTAGTGGTGGCCCTGCAGACCAGGTTCAGAGAAGTCACCTCCTGACATTGGAGGATGGGTTGCCTTGCTGACTCCTGCTAGAAGAGCTTTCACACATATCACCACTGAGCACAACTGCAAAGCACTTGGGAGGGTAAACGGATATTGCTCTGAATGGACCAGGTGGTGGCCAGAGCCTGAGCAGACAAGCAGCATCCATTCTCCCTTTAGCTCCAGCCCTGCCCTGAAAGAACTGAGGGTGATGTGAGCTTCCTTAAAGGCCAGAGGAAGGATGCTGTGCTCAGCACTGCTGTGACTGTTCCTTTTCTTTGCACTCCCTGTTTCCTGCCCAGTGTCAGTGATGAGAGGTACTATTTGGTCCTTGTGTGAATACTGAGAAAATTGTTAGTTATATGATATGGGAATTAAGAAAATCTGTCTGCTTTCCAAGCATAAATCAATGACTGTGACAATGATTTGAAAACACAGGGTTATGACCCCAAGTTGGCTTTTTTTTTTCTCAGTTCTGGGTACAGTCACGAGCCTGGCAGGAATCTGTGTAAGCTACAATGTGTGGCAATGACTGGCGTCTCCCAGAGTCTTTGAGCTGAGTAGGATCACAACAGGAAAAAGTTTGGGAAAGTGCCACTGAGAGTTTAGGAATAAACAACTCCCATGGGCAGGCTGTCCATAATTGGCCATGACAAGGCTTCTTTCTCCAGAGAGCCAGAGCTGGCCTGTGAGGAAACAGAATGAATCACTGCTCTGGTCCAATTTGGCAAGTGCTGTGATTTAGCCCTGCTTTGCACGGGAGGAGATGATGATGTAGACTGAAAGGCAGGAGAACTGTAGCTAGCGGCTTCCGAGCTGGGGGATGAGTTTGGGTTCCCACTTATTTCTTGTTGGTTTACTCAGCTCCTTAGAAGGAAACCCAGGCAAAAACCACTGATACCAAAACAGTTCCCTTTATCAACAATGTAGAGGAGACAATGGGGACTCCTCAACACAAAGCCCATACAAACAAGAATAAACATTTTATTTTGCATTGTTAAAATACCATTCATTATGCAAGTCCTCCTGCCAATCCCCAGCTTTGTTAACTATTTCTGCTGACTTTCTGCTTCTGGATACAGATTTACAAGAGGATATCATAGAGGTTGGAACTGGTGTCCTGCAGCATGGTAATGACCATGTGGCTGTGTAGCCTTCTGTGAAGAGGAGGATTGAGTGTAGTTTCCTCAAGCCACCCTGTGCCTTTGGAAAAGTCCCATTTTCTTCTGAATATGAGGAAAATGGTGTGTATTTTATGCCATTCTTTTTCTAGATGGTGGTCACCAGAGCAATCTTAAAAGCTCCTTGCTATCTCAACAATCTTACCAAGCCTAATAACAAGTTCACAGCCTGTTCAGTATCTGATGATTAATCCCCTCCCATAAAGATACTGGCAGAACCCCATAAAAATATTGGTGGAGCCAGAGCTGCTCTGCCAAGTGGCAGACTTAGATTTGCTCTTCTTGGAAAGCTGGTTTCCTGTCACTGGCATTGTCTCCTCACTGCTTTCCAGTGGTTTGGAAAGAGGAGAAAGGGAAAAAAATGTTCCACCCAAATACATCATCTCTTTTACATCTCCTTTCCTCCATCTGCTCTCTTGTTATTTCTAATTTCAGGAATACCATCAGCTGAAGATTTTCCTAACCAATCCTACTTCTATCCCCAGTGCAAAGGAAAAAGGAAGCTTCCTTCAAAGCAAGATCCTTCCAAAAAGAAGCCACAGATAATCTTTATTTCCATTACCCTTCTGCTCCTTTGGAGAGCAGGCAAACGAAACAAAAATCTTCACTGCAACACGAAAGAGAGGTAGCTCAAGAAAATCAAATCTGCATCTTGTAATGTAAGCACTTGACCAAAGCATTAGCCTTTTAATATTTTTTTTATATCTGTTTTCTATTGATATTAGAAACATTAAAAGTGTCAGTCTCATAAAATGTTTACTGCTAATGCAGACAGATGCTTCCAGGCTGGCTGCACATTCAGAGCTTAGGGCTTCCTATTCCAAATGTTGCTGCCACTGGAAATAGAAAACTTGGTCGACTCCAAGCAGCAAAGGGCCATGACATGCAGCTGAGTAGTTCTTCTTTGCACGCTAACCTAAATGCAGGCTACCTAGATTTTACTTCCTCTGGATAGATAGAAGTACCAGCACTCCTATCTGCCTTTCATTTCAAAGTCTTCACAAGGCTAAATCCTGCACTGGGTTCCTACTCAGTAATTTTTCCTGCTTTCTCTTGAGATTCACATAAGGCCTGGAGGCAGGACTTCAGCAGTACCACATGCAGTATTGGTCAGATGAATATGGCATGAGCACGAAGATCATGATCTTTCTGGCAGAGTAATTGGAGAATGACCAACCCCACTAGGACCTTCAAGAACAAGAGTTGGTGAGACTACAGGAGGATTCCCTGTGCTCTATGCAGAGCAAGGAGGAGGAAAACAGCAAACATCCTGGGAAGTACCAAATGTCATTCAGAGAAGGTTAGAACAGGGTACACACTGGAGTGTAAGGCACCCATGGTCAAAGAGTTTGTGTGGCAGTTTTCCCTTTGGTGTCCATGTGTCGGTCTCTGGGTCATAGCAGTCCAAAGAATCTGAATCTTCAATGACATTGTCCACAGTGAGACATCGTCCTCCTGTAACATACAGCTTGTTCTTGATGACAGTGGCCCCATGATGCATTCGCCTGTCCCTCATGTCTGCACATTTGACAAACTTGTTGCCTTTTGTATCATAAGCAATTATTCTCCGAGTGTACCCTAAATGCAAAGATGGAGATAGAAGAGACAGATGTGAATTAGGGTTAATGGCTCAGTTTATACTGGTACATAATTTGGCAGAACTAAGATATCTAAGATGGGAAGTAATGATTTGTCACAGAACTGCTTGCCTGTCTACCTTCTTGTTTGTCTTCATGCTGTCATGGCAGCTAAGGCTCAATGAGCACTGGTGGCAGTCAACTTATTGAACACACAGCTTGCAGTTTTCTATATGCAATTTCAGATGTCCTCAATATTTCCCTTTACCCAAAAGGTTTTGAGAGCTTCACTCAGAAATACAGAAACCAATGGTATGTGGGAAGCCAGAAGGGATAGGGGGAGCAACACTGTCTTTTTGGGTTGAAGTTGTAGCTGTAAACCAAATGGTGTTGTGTACACGATAGCATGGTCCCACTGCTGCTTACTCCATTCCTATACCCTCCGTGTCACTTCTGTGTTGCCCACCATGCTGGCAGCCCAATGGTTGGCTCTACCACTGAGGGGTCGTTCAGCCTCACATCCCTGAGAGGTAGGGGCTAGTATGGGTCATGAGCAATGGAGGTATGAAGGTTGTTCCTCAGCAGTAACTTGTCTGTGTATCTCTTGTCTATGTAGATAATCAAGAAAGCTCATGGCAAACAAACTGCTTTGGGCCTTGTTATGCAGGCCTTGAATCCACTTTCCCTAACCTGATATCATCAGCATCTGGGGTCAATACAGGCTCTTCAGGTAAAAGGTTCATTGCAAAGGGTAGCAGGGGCCTCTTGTAGGGAAACACAGTGCTTTTGAGTCCTATGTTATACAGGGTCACTCCTCTGCTAATGCTTCTCTGTGTCTCATTCTTTCTTAAATAATCTAACGTGCTTTCTCTTGTCAGACTCTAGTCAGGGAAGCTGCATTAAGGACTGTGGAGTGCTGAGCTTGGTCACTACCAATGAGGTGTGATCTGTCAAAGAGCCACGGAACGGAGGCTGATTCTTGAGTTGAATAGGGCGAAGAAGTTTCTCCTGTCCATGTGGTTCATGCCCCTCTCAGGACATTTCTCCATTGCCTCCAGGAGGCAGCTGCAGGAGCAGTGAGCACTGAGACCTTTAACCCACCCATCCCAACAAACTGTCCATAGCTGTGTGGCAACCATGCTCTTTGCCTTTCCAAGAAAAGCCATCAGAGAGGAACAAGCTGTGAGTAAGAGGAGGAGCTAACTCTTCCTCTACAGAGAAGTAACTCATAATGGCTTTTCTCCATTTTTCCCCACTTAAGTCCTGCTAACAGAGTGAGAGGGTGCCTGTAAATGATTTGTCCCCACCACCTCTATGTCCTGACCCCATGAGAGACGTGTATGGAGACTGGGCATAATCCGCCTCTCCCTCACAAGTGCCACATGCTGTTGCAGCTCATACATGACTTTTGCTCCTGCAGCATGATAGCCATGCTCAGCATCAATGATTCCCATTGCTGACATAGCTGGCTGCCACTCTGACGATCCCTGGCCAGTGCAGTGTTATCCTGAGCAGGAAGCATGCAAAATCCTGCAGGATCTGTATATGTGCAGGCAGGAGGGTGGGTGAAAAAGAACCCTTACCTCCCACGATGATAATCTGGTCTCCAATCACAACAGCTGGTGCACAGACGTTCTTCACCACTCTGGTCTCCATCCGAAACCACATATTCCTGGAGACATGGTAAACCTGACAAATAAATAAAGATGCACACACAGCTGTTTATGTTGCTTTTTGACTGGCAATTGTAATTACAGAGAAACTTAAGGTTTGTATTTTGTCTTAATGAATACAATCCACTGGCTTGAACTGCTGGGAATTTTTACCCACTCCTTTTTTCCTAGTATGTCCCCTTGGAAAGCATTTGTGTTCCCCTGGATGAGCTGCTCAGCACGCACACTAAAGCAGAGAGTTTCTGTCATGTGCAAGCTTCTTCACTGTAAGTTATCCTATGACCACTAAGTTGCTGCAATTCCTGGCTAACACTCTCCCAAAACCCAGGTCACATCCCTTCATTTTCCAATTTTCTGTGTAGTTCTGCCTTCCTTCCCCATTTCCTGGGCACGCCAACTGCAATTTCACCTAGCACTGCTGGCAGCTTGTGTTTGCCCTGCTGCTATATTTGTGCTGGTGGCTGGTATGCACTCAGGTTGGCAAAGAGACTTGTTGATGGGACCTAGAGTGATATCTAAGTCATCAATTTATGTGAGAAAAAGAACTGCTGCCAAATGATGATCACTCAGTCATCTGTGTGTGGGTGACATAAACTTCTATGTCACGTCATCTGCTTCTCAGTATAGCAAATATCTTCAGGACATCTCCCCACATTGATAATCACGTTTCCTTTGCCTTGATAATTAAGTAGCATTATCATTATAAGTAAGTATTGCTCAAGTGCTGGCTGTCGTTTCGGCCTTTAATGATGCTTCTTAATTAAACTACCTAAACCGGTGAAAAACACTCAAGTGGAAAGTAACATTGCATCACTAAAGCATCAAATCAGATAAGGAAGGATTTAATGTCTTTTACCCTCCTAATATAGCTTAACTACCAAAAGCAGGCAGAGAGCCAGCAACATGTGGCAGACTTTTAACACAACTGTTTATGTGAAATAACTGTCAGTTTAAGCTCTGGCCTTTTGATGGGTGTGAGTCTAATTGCTCTAATGATCTCAAAATGGCATCTTTGCTGTCACTGCAAGGGAGCAGATGTGCAGCTGAGACTCCAGCTTAGCTGCAGGCTGGCAAAGCAGCAAGCACTGATTTGGGTGAATGTTTACAGACGTGGACGTGGCCCTGGGGTCAGTTATTGCCTGCCATAGCAGCATCCATGGGAGCTCCCAAGACCTCTGTAGGAAATTCTCCTGTGACAGAGTTAGTACCAGAGAAAGTGCCTTAGGCCTTACGTCTGAAAAATATTCCATGGGGAAAATGAAAGAACAGCAATGCTCCTTAGCACAAGACTTCCTTGAAGCAATGGTCAACTCATCCTGCCTGTTGTTGCAACTCACAAGAAAGTTTTGTTTTGGAATTGACTTCTTCATCAAGGTGATGATGAACCACTGACAAATTGAGGTAAAACTGCCTATGTCAAGGAGGACTGACTGTTACCTGGATAAGCCGGACAGGGTTTTGCATAATGTCTTCTCCCCCAAAGAGGTACACCCTCTGGTCTTTGGCAGCAACAGCAGGATGAAGGACAGCAACAGGCATGTTTGCCATGCTCTCGCAGGTGTTGTAGATGCTGTCATATCTTTCCACAGAGTTCAGGATTTCTTGGTTTTCACCAATTCCACCGAATGATAAAATATAATTTTTATATGCCAAGCTTCTGTGGGAATAACGTGGAACTAGCATAGGCTCAACCAACCTCCACTGATTGAGTTTGAGGGAGTAAATGTAAATATTATCGCTGACTGGACTTTTCTTATTGCTAACAGGCATCCCTCCAAGCACATAAATATTACTGTGTAAGCTCACTGCAGATGCTTTGTACAGGCGTACAGGAAGTTTGGCCAGGCTTAGCCATTGGTTAGTCTTGTCATCATAGAGCAGGACATCCCTTGTGGTCTGCTGGTTGTCCTTCCTGCCACCGATGACAATGAGGAACTCTTGGTTGGAGTATCTGCGAGGAACGTGTACCATTGGCTTGATGTCAGGTGCGTTGGTGCTGTACAAGGAAAACATCTGTCTCCGAGCTGACTCAAGAATGCTCCTGCAAGTGGGTGAAGACTGAACAAGGGAGTCATTGGCAATGAAATGGAAGAGGAAAGTTGGATGAACGTACTGAAGCCGGACCTTCTTGAACAGGTCTTGGATGTAGCGCTGTCTTGCTTGGAGATCATGCCGGATCCAGACCATCAGTGTCTCGAAGACCTGCTCCTCCTCCCCACAGAGCTCATCATCCCCAAGGTAATCAAGGAGCTCCAAAGGACAGAGATCCTTGAGGTCCTCAGAAGAGGCCACTTCAGGAAAACATTTCAAAGCCATAGCCTTGGCCTTCTTATTCAGGCTTTGGCAGTTCAAGATTTTTGCCAGTCTGATCATGCTTAGACAGTTGTCAGGAGTCAGCTTATCTTGGAGGTAGGCAGAGCAGGCCTCAAACAGCTTAGCGTACTGCAGCATGGATGCTGTCTCCAAAAGGTACAAGACATTCTCAGCAGATATGAGAATCTCCCCTGTGTAAATGTAAAGGATAATCTGGTCCAAAATTTCAGCATCAATACCCTTCAGGGTGACTTTAGCTTGGTGACTCTCTTTGAAGTTGTTACAGAACATCGCCTTGAAGTATGGGCTGCTGGCAGCCAGCACGTTTCTGTGGCAGGGGACTTCAAAGCCCCCAGAGCAAAGGGTAACATCAGTCAGCATCCTGCTCTGCCGAAGCGCATTCAGCTGCCTCAGCAGTTCGGAGGAGAAGTCCTGGTCTTTGAAGAGAAACTCCTCAGCAGATCTCTCCTCCATAGCAAAGAGAGAGATGAAGTCTGGACTTGGCAGAAAAAACCAAATTCTTAGCAGCTTTTATAGAAATATCCAGCTCCAAGGGAACAAATCAGGACTTTGATGTTGCTCTAAATATTCATTCGCTGTTATGCATAAAAATGGAACATGGGTTAAGCACAGTGGGAAAGTAATAAAGAAGCTAAAAGGTCACAAAGACCCTTTAAAATTTTTATAAATTTATCAGATAGATTGCAGCTCTGGGGTCAGCATTGCCTGTGTCTCTGGCAAGAAGCAAAAGCACTGAAGTTATCTCACTGATTTGGGATGAAAGCTGAACAGCCGAAGCAGTGGGGAGGTTCGTTTTAATCATGTCGAATAAATGCGCTTGGACATTTATTCACTATTTTAAAGTATTAGCAGTTTAGTAACTTGCATCTCTTTCCCCTAGAGTTAGTCATTCCCAAAGAATGTAAATCTGGCAGAGCTGAACTCTGCAGTAGGGCTAACTAAACCCTAGAGACTGGGAATCTGCATTAAAACAGTTATTTATTCACTTTGCTTAGCTGTGGTTTTTTATGTTAATCAGACACACAATGACTAAATTAAGTGCCAGGCAGAACAATCTGACGAGTATTTATTTCATGCCTAACCGCTTAATCTGCAGTGAAATCGTACGGTAGAAATGTTTACCTTCTGATGTCCTTCCCTGCATGCACTTACTCTCTGTCGCTTATTCTCTGCTGAGATTTTCCATAGCTAGAGCCTGGATAAAAACTATAAACCCACAGGACGTTTCTTTCAGTAGGTAAGTGATTCATAGAAGGTGATTTCTGGACGTGTTTATTCTGAAGTCACTTTTGCCGCTTTCAGGAGCTTTGTGCAGGAGCGCAAGGCGGTGGGGCATTGTATACATTCCAGCACTAAGAATAGGCACATATGGACTTCTCACAGTTATCACATGTGATACCGCCGTTGCCTTTTGCAATGACCTGGCTGGTACTGAGCATGCCCAAGTGGTGTTTTTCTGGCAAATGTTTACATATAATAAATAGACACAGAGAGGAAAGTTCATTTATAAAAGTCCTGGCTGTCCGTTTGGAAACAGCAACAGGACCCTGTCCTAAATTGCCTGGGAACTTGAGAAGCCTGTAAACAGTCTGCAGCGCCTTGTGCTAGGTGATGCACTGTCACGTATTTTTGTGGAGCAAGGAAAAAGCAGAGCCTGCAGGGATCCCAGAGGGATGGACCATGTCTCCACCTGATGGAGAGGTTTTGGGAGCACCTGCTGTTGTGGTCTGCAGTGGTGAGTGGGTAGGAGATCCTGATGTGCTGGGACTCTCATGACCTTGGCACCTAGAGTGGATAGGGAGAAATATAGGAATGTATTGTAGAATCTTAGAATCATCAAATCACCAAAGCTGGAAAAGAGCTCCAAGATCATCCAGTCCAACCATGTACCTACCACCAGTATTTCCCCCCTCAACCATGTCCCTCAGTACAACACCTAAATGTTTCTTGAACACCTCCGTGGATGGAGACTCCACCACCTCCCTTGGCAGCCTGTTCCATCACCTGACCACTCTTTTGGAGAAGAAATTTCCTCTAATATCCAATCTGAACCTCGCCTGCTGTAACTTGAGGCCATTCTCTCTAGTTCTATCACTATTACCTGGGAGAAGAGTGTGACCCCTACCACAACATCCTTTCAGGGAGTTACAACTCCTTTTCTCCAGACTGAACAATCACAGTTACTTCAGCCACCCCTCATATGACTTGCACTTCAGACTCTTCACCCTTTGAAATATCAAGGGCATCATAAGGATTAAGTTCAACAAGACCAAGTGCCAAGTCCTGCACTTTAGTCACAACAAGCCAGTCAACAATACTGGCTTGGGGCAGAGTGGCTGGAAGACTGTGTGGAGGAAATGGACCTGGTGATGTTGATCAAAGTTCAGCTTAACATGAGCCAGCAATGTGCCTGGGTGGCCAAGAAGGCCAGTGGCATCCTGGCTTGTAGCAGAAATAGTGCAGCCACCAGGAGCAGGAAGGTGATCATCCCCCTGAACTCAGCTCTGGCAGGCCACATCTTGAGTACTGTGTTCAGTTTTGGGCCCCTCACTATAAGAAAAACATTGAGGCATCTTCTCAGAAGCAGAGGTGAGGTACTGACTGGAACAGTCTGCCCAGGGAGGTGGTGGAGTCTCAGTGCCTGGAGGTTTTCAATAAACGTGTGGCACTGAGGGAGATGGTTTGGTGGGCATGGTGGTGATGGGGTGATGGTTGGACCAGACGATCTTAGTGGTCTTTCCAGCCTTAATGATTCTATGATTCTATGATTCACAGAAATATGATTCATACAAATAAAGGCAGGTTATGATTTTTTTCTGCAAGAATTTCATCTCTCTGAAATCCCTAACAAAGAAACGTGACAAGTGCTTTGAGGAAGGTGAGTAGAAACTGGAGCAGTTTGAAGTGAGGGTAGCAGACAGGAAAAATCACTGAGATGATCAGTCCTAGGCTCCTCATTGCAGACCTTCTAACTGCAGATAACTGCAGGTGTCTGCAGGTGAACATGGTGTCCGAGCTCCCCTAGCAGCTGGTGAACTCTGGTCAGTACAACCATGGAGTTATCCTGGTCACCAGCAAGTATCATCTGTTTTGGGGCAGGTGAATGGTCCTCCAGGCACATCTGACTCAATCTTCGTGGGCTGTGGTTGTTCACATGTCCTGGTGATGTGTAGATGTCTTGTTGAACACTCTTCTGTACTCGCTGTATCACTTCCAGATATTTGAGATGCTCAGCCTAAATTCATCTGCTGGGCTTGGATTAGTTGAGCACCACATGCCCCAGAGGATCCTCTATAACCCCAGATGCCTACACAGAAGGGCTGGGGCTCCAGCAGGTGTGATGTGCCCCAGCTCTGTGCCAATATCATGGGCATTTCAGGAAATACAACTCCGGTTGCCCCAGGGTGATTGACCTGGGGCCCCTGGTCTGTGCTGAAGCTCCTGCCTTTGTTCTGAGATGGGACTAAATCCAAAATGCTATTTCTAAGTGCTGCTACTACAGGGAAAAACAAGGTTAAAGCAAAACTCCTTCTTCATGTTCTCAAAGTCAAAGCTTGCTAGTGAGTCATGGCTGTGTCTGATCACAGCGGGTCAGATGGGTGAAAATGCTGGGAGCTGCAGTGCCCTTGTATCAACCACCATGCACAATTTGCCTCACAGAATCATAGAATCATGGAATCACAAGGTTGGAAACGACCTGTAAGATCATGTAGTCCAACCGTCTTCTCATTACCACTGCTACCACAAGCACTAAACCATATCTTACAGCTCCTCATCCAGACGCCTCTTGAACACTGCCAGGGATGGCAACCCACCACCTGCTCAGGCCGTTCCAGTGCCTGAGCACTCTCTGAGAGAAAACGTTTTTCCTTATGTCTAGCCTAAACCTCCTCTGGTACAACTTGTGGCCATTTCCCCAGGTTCTGTTCATTGCCTGGGAGAAGAGGCCAAACCCCTCTTCACCACAACCTCCCTTCAGGAAGTTGTAGAGTGCAATGAGGTCTCCCCTGAGCCTCCCCTTCTCCAGACTTAACAATCCCAGCTCCCTCAGCCACTTGTGCTCCAGACCCCTCACCAGTTTCGTTGCCCTTCTCTGGACACATTCCAGGGCCTCAATGTCTTTCCTGTAGTGAGGGGCCCAAAACTGAACACAGCGCTTGAGGTGCGGCCTAACCAGTGCTAAGTACAGGGGGATGATCACCTCCCTGCTCCTGCTGGCCACACTATTTCTATTGCAGGCCAGGATGCCATTGGCCCTCTTGGCCATCTGGGCACACTGTCAGCTCATGTTTAGCAGAGCATCAATAAATACCCCCAGATCCCTTTCTTCTTCACAATCATCCAGCCACTCGTCCCCAAGGCTATAACGCTGCATGGGGTTGTTGCGGCCAAAGTGCAGGACCTGGCACTCGGCCTGTTGAACCTCATCCCATTCACCTCAGCCCAGTTTATCCAGCTTATTTAGATCCCTCTGAAGGGCCTCCCTACCCTTAGGCAGATTGACACCACCTCCCAACTTGGTGTCATCTGCCTCCTCAGACCTCCATGCACTGCTGTCCCAACAAGCTGCAGGGACAGGGGCTGGTGCTCTAAAAACAGTAGCTTTCATCCCAGGCTGTGCCATACACATCCTTTCACAGAGGGTTCATCAAGGAACCTACTGATGGCTCAGTGAGGCCAAAGGCCTGTTGAGCCCCAAAGGAAGTTGAGTCCAGAAGACCCGGCATCAGCATCAGGCTGGAGCATCTCTCCCAGTGTTATCCATCTGGTGAGGTGAGGGAGGAGAAGAGGAGCATGGGATTGCCTTGATGGGTCGCTGTCAGGCACCGTGCATCCTCTTCCTTCTCCTTGAGCAGAGGCTGAGCTGGAGGATGGTGCTGGGCAGAACGTGCCCTCCCATTCTTGCTTGCTGCCATTGCTGCCTCCCCAGCTGGCCAGAATCTCACTGTAAATATTTAGAGTGGCATTAAGAAAGAAAAAGGAGAATTTCTCCTTCCTCATCCAGAGAACATTAGCTACCCAAACAAAACGCCCTCTCTCTTTCTCTCTCTGTACGCATATGCTCTCATTGCAGCCCATTTCGATGATGGATGCAGCTTTATGCCTCTGGCTCAGGCTCTTTGCTGCCTGTTTAGTTCTGCTGCTTCTTGGCAGAGACTGTGGATTATTTTTTTAACCCTTAAAGAAACAAACAATGCTCTCTGACTTCACTGCTGACACTGCTTTATGGGGTCGAGGAAGGGTAGGTGCCATGTTCACGTACTTTAGACACAGATAAATGTGGCATTTATTTAGAAGATCCCAGGCTTGAGAGTTTTGCAGGGTTATGCAAACTCCTGCTAGCGTGGAGTACATCATGTGCTGTTTAACAAGCTTGCTCTCGGGGGGGGTGCTGCTCCCTGCTCAGTCCCCATGCAGGTCCCTGCCAACTTGGGGCCGAGGCTCCCCAGCAGTGAGGCTCCCGCTGCCCGCTGTACAGCTCTCCTCTTTCCTTCCCAGAGTTTATGGTTTCCTTCAATCAAATGAAGATATTTAGCT